ATCCCCACTCTTAGTTAACAACGTACTGGAGGTTTTAGTTAACAGCACAAGGCAAAGAAAAGACATTATAGTATTCACCTGGGGAAGAAAGGGGTGAAACAATCATTATTCACAAATGATATAATTTTATATGTGGAAAATCCCAAAAGCTCCACAAGAGGAGCACTGGAAGCAATAGAGGAATATGGCAGAGTGACAGGTTACAAGATCAACAAACAGAAGTCCATCAGACTGCTATACACATTGGATAAAACCACAGAAGAGATAAAAAAAGGTGGTACCCTTCATAATAGCCAAGCACAAATTGAAATATCTAGGGATATACCTGACTAAAAGAACAAAGTATATATATGAGGAAAACTACAGAACAATATTATAAGAAACCAAGAGTGTCCTCAACACATGGAAGAACATTCCATACTCCTGGATTGAAAGACTCAATATAGTAAAGATGTCAGTTCTGCCTAAGGCACTATATAAATTTAATGCGATCCCGATACAATTACTCTCATCTTTCATCAAAGAAATGGAAAAACTGATTACAACTTCATATGAAGAGGGAAGAAGCCCAGAATTAGCAGATAACTCCTCAAGAAGAAGGACAAAGTGGGAGGGCTTGCTTTACCTGACTTTAGCACATATTATACAGCCACAGTGGTCAGAACCACATGGTATTGGTATACTGACAGATACTCAGACTAATGGAAAAGAACTGAAAACTCAGAAATAAAATCATCAACATACAGACAACTGATCTTTGATAAGGACCCAAAATATATAAAATAGGAAGCGGGTGCCATCTTCAACAAGTGGTGCTGGAAAAAATGGATATCTACCTACAGAAAAATGAAGCAGGACCCTTATCTCCCCATGCAAAAGAATAAACTCAAGGTAGATCACAGACCTCGAGGTAAAACCCCAAACTATTAGGGCCATCAGTATGGGAATTGGGACAAACTTGTGAACTTTGGCACAGGGGATACATAGGCTAACAGAAATAGGGAAGGACACAAATACAGATGAGTCACAAATTGAGAAGTGGGATATACTGAAGATAAAACACCTGTGTACATTGAAATAATTCACCAAGAGAGTAATGAGAGAGTCCACGGACATCTTTAGCAATGAAACATCAGACAAAGTCCTTATTACAAAAATCTACAATACTCTGCTAGCTTCCAAAAAGAAAAAAACGAATTGTCCACTGAGCAGGTGGGCAAAGAACCTGAACAGAACTTTCACAAGGGCAGAAATCCAAATGACCAATGAACATATAGAAAATGTTCCCAATCATTAGCCATAAAAGAAATGCCAATTAAAACAACAATGAGATACCACCTACCACCCTCAAAGATAGCCCAATTCAAAAAATCAGAAAGCAACAAGTGTTGGAGGGGCTGTGGAGAGACAGGAACTTTCATCCACTCCTGGTGGACCTGTAGGTATGTACAGCCACTATGGAAATTGATTTGACGATATCTAAAGTAGATGGAAATTGAGCTACCATACCACCCAGCAATTCCCCTACTGGGCATATACCCAGAAGAGGCAAGAAACAAACCACGGCCAGACATCTGTGCTCCAGTGTTCATCACAGCACAGTTCACAATCACCAGGAGTTGGAAAAACCCAAATTTCCATCAATTGATGAATGGATTAAAAAACTGTGGTACATACTTACAATGGAGTACTATGCATCCTTAAAAAGTAGTGATGAATGCATGAAGCACATCGCTACATGGGAAGAGCTGGAGGAAATTATGCTAAGCAAAGTAAGCCAAGCACAACATGAGTCCACTGAGGTAAACTTAAAAAAAGAATTCAAAAGGAGCATAAGGAAAAACAGCTATCATACACAAACATTCCTGGGGTGAGGTCCGGGTAGTATGGCAGGGGCCAGACCAAATTTAGGGATACATATGGTAGCCAACTAAAAGGGAGCGGGGAAAGGGGGGAAAAAGGGGTAGCAGGGCAATAGGGCACTAACCCACCCAAGGGAAGGGTATTGTTTATATCTCCACAGGGAAAGAGGAACCAGACTTCAACCTGGTGCTCCAAGATGTGAATGTAACATATTGGCATGAAGCAGGGAACCAGTAGAGAGGTCTAAGGGGCCAGCCCAATCCCAACTAGGTGGACAGCCGCCCCTCCCCCCTGAAGAATTTACTTCAGAGGACAGCACTGAAGCTACAGCTCAGGGAGAGGGACATGTCTGATCAGAGCACACAGGAGCATATGAAGGGGGAGAAAGAGAGAATGGAGCACATCCTGACCCACCAAACCTTGAGGACAATATCCCTGCTCAAACCAGCCAATGCACAGATAGGACCATATGGCCGGCCCCACTAGGAGACACAACATCCCTCACTGACCCATAGCCCTACAGGGGACAACACTGAAGACACAGTGTGGGAATTGTGCCCAATCTGACCCTACCACACCGAAGCAAAACAGTGAGGGTGTGCAATAAAAAGGCAAGGGGAGCAGAACAAGGAAGTCCCCAGGGAATACCAAATATAGACTCTGGGGCCAGGACATGGCTCCTCATCAGACTCAACCAGAAAACCCTCCTAAAGGTCAACAAACAGACCTTGAACTATTTACAGGCTTTTCTTTTTGTTGTTGTTATTGGTTTGTTGTTTTGTTTTCCTTTCTTGCTTTACTTGGCTCCGTCTTGTTTTTGTGTATATTATTATCTCTGCAGGTCTATCTAGATAAGATAGGCCAGACAAACAATCTGGTGGATGGGACTGATGGTTCTGGGGGGACATGGGAGAGGGACAGGTGGGGGAAAGAAAGTGGTGTTAACAAACCCAGGGACAAGAGAACAACAAGTGATCCAAAATCGGTGGCGGGGAAGGTGTAAGATGCCTGGTAGGGCTTGATCAAAGGCAATGTAACTGAGAAGAATTACTGAAACCCGAATGAAGGCTGAGCATGATAGTAGGACAAGAGGAAAGGAAAAGGAAATAGAGAAAGAACTAGAAGACAAAGGGCATTTATAGAGGTCTAAATAAAGGCATGTACATATGTAAATATATTTATATATGATGATGGGCAAATAGATCTATGTGCACATATTTATAGGTTTAGTATTAAGGTAGCAGATGGACCTTGGGCCTCTACTCAAGTGCTCCCTCAGTGCAAGAACACTTTATTCTATTAAACTGGCATTCCACGATGCTTACCTTCCCCACACGATTGCAGAAGACAAAGTGGGTACATAAACAAATGTGGTGAAGAAAGTTGATGATGCCTGGCTATCAAGAGATACAATGTCTGGGGTCTTAAAGGCTTGAAGATGAGCAAGTGCCTATCTAGCTAAGAAGCAACAAAGCCCACATGGAAAAAGCACACCAGCTTTTGTGATCACAAGGCTTCGCTTCATTTTTGAGACTGCCAATTTTCCTGGATTCACACTTTGCACATTCCAAGTTCAGACCATTTTTGCAGCTCTTTCTCCTTACCTTGAGTTGCGTGCCATCAGCAAATGAAGACTCTGATGGCTCCACTCCCACAGGTTTTAACCGACTGTCACCCTGGCTGACTCCCCTCCAAGAGAGCAGCTTCTCCTCCGTCACATTTTGAGTGCCCTCAGACCTGAGGGTCCCACCCTGCCACACAATCTCTGACAATGCTCAGCTTCCATTCATTAAGCAATGTTTCAAAACTAGGTTTTGAAACAGAAGGTTTTCAGGGGAGCCTTCCTCTGAAGTGGGGAGCCGTGTCCATCTTTATTGTCTGTTCTTAGTCAGGAAGCTTTGCTGAAACCTGTCCACTTTGACCCTGATGCCCTTTGAAATACTGGTGACTTAGCTTCCAGCATCACAGCCACACACAAGTCACCACAGTAGGACAAACTGGCAGACACATGTTGGCCATTGTAATGTAGTTGGCACCAATAGCAATGGCAGGTATGGACATGTTTGGTGTATTGCATTTGCCAAGTAAAATGAACATAACTAAACAACAAAAACAAAAGCAAAAATCTTCACTGCCATCTGTAGTAACCCAGCTTAGCATAAAATACTCCATCTTGTTGAAAACTGCCATTTTTGTATAACCTCAAACACCCTGCCACCTTGGCCCCTCTAGATATCCTGAAAGACTGATCCTCCCAATAACCTGCCTACTGGAAAAGCAAGGAATGCAATCTATCCTGCCAGACCCTGACCCACCTGCCAATGCCCCCCTTTCCCCTCCCGAAGTCCTGCCTGTCCAACAAGCAAAGAACGTAACCACTGAATGTTCCTTCCATTTTAACACCCCCGATTTAACAAGTGTCTCCCTCAGCACAATCAAGGAGGGTGCTGGGCAGGAGCCACCTCTCTTCTGCCGGCTGACTAAAGAAGGTTTTAAACTCAGATTTAACCCGAGGGGTGTGGTCTGATCTCGCTCCGGTATTCCATGGAGTCATGGCGACGTCGTGACCCTATAGGACAGAGCGCAACCGCCGAGGGGGTGTCCAAGACTGGCACTCTTTAGGGGACTAGAAAGCCGCATCTTTCTTCCTGGAGCCGCTGGTGCTTTCAAATTGCTGACCTTGCAGTTGGCAGCCCAAAGGGTCGCTTGTTATGCCACCAGGGCTCCAAATATTGACTGGAAAAGGCATTTGGCAACCTATACAC